ATTTCCCACCATAATCACCACTTAAAATTTGTGTATTGCTCCAGACATCACAGCTATGATGATCATGCTCAGTGGCAAGCAGGAGGCAGGACAGTTGTCTGATCAGCTTGAAAAGCTATAAACAGCCCAAGCTGAATGCTCCGGTGCACTCAAATGATCATCTCACTCTTTGGTGAGGGGTGACATTTAGGGAGAGGCAGAAGGAAGCATCATCTATGACAGCCCGAGAAGGGAGATACGCTGATTTGAGATCTTACAGCAAAATTTACACGAGTGAGGTGATCTTTTGCCATTGCATCTGAGGCTTTGGGAGATCCCTTAGATGACAGTGACGGCCATTAGCGGTCTACGCCATGATGCAGGTACACACATATGTAAGGTTGCATGCCTCTTGGTGAAACTCATGTAGTAGACTTCTCTCTTTTGAATAGAGCACAAGGGAATCCTTTTCTCCCAACAATTGGTAGTCTGAACACACACATATACACACTAACTAGCACATACCTCCTTAAATGTCCCTGGAGTGATGATCAGCCGATAAGCAATGTATGTGGGGATGCAGATGAAAGATGAAGTTCCTATGCAGTAACCCAAGATGACACTCCAGTGGGGATAATTATATTGGAAAAGTCGTAGCTGTGGTGGGCTCATCAGAAAACTGCAAATGATGAACTAAAACAGAAATTCCAAGAAACATTAAAAGTCTTAACAATATCCACGCAGATAGAGACATTTCTGATACCGCAAACACCAAATGCTAAAGCTAAGATACTTTCAGCAAATTCCCAAGACGTGATATATCCTGAACTCTGATCCACAGAATTACCAACTTCCGTATCCGAGCGGCAAGACTAAACCAGCCAGGTGCTTTCCCTGATTTTCCTCCGCAGCCCACACTTCCTATCGGGGGATGTTGCAGCATCCCTCCAGCTGCCCCTACAGTCCGGGAGCCTGGAGCTCCCGCTTCAGCGCTGGCCTCTGCCCAGGCGAAGAGACTGGCAACCTTTGGTGAGAGTGGTTTGGGCCTTGTCTTGCCAGAAGGCAGAGGAATAAACTGGGTGACCTCTCCATAGCCCCTGCCAGCCCCAGGCTTCATATTTCTCTCTGCCTTGTTTTCATTGCCTTTCATTGTGTTTCTGGCTGTGGTTGTCTTTGGTCAGATGGAAGGTGCCGGATGTCCAAGAAAGATAAGAAGGTTCTCAAGACCTGGAGGGGCCTCAGGCTCCCGGGGGTGTGCTCCTTCTCTTGTTTTCTGGAGCTCTCTGCCTTCTGCATTAAGCTCCATCGCCTGGGGTTTCAACAAGGTTGGCTCTGCCACTAGGCCCCTCAGCAATGAATGACCGACCACCTGCCACAGGTCCTCATCACAAAAGGAATTACAGAAGGAAAAAAAGCAGCTTAATACACTTTTCACTTGAAAATTCTGTGAGAATTCTAACCAAAAAAAAGTCCATAGTGTGCTCCCAACACCCAGTTTATGAGTTTTCTTATTTCAGCTTGGTTTCCAGAGAGTGTAAATATCGGTTTTTGCCTAGTAACCGCTGTGTCGAAATCGTCATGGCTCTTGATTTAATTTTATTTTATTATTTCATAGTCATAAAGAAGACAGTAATGTAAATTATTTGTGTGGTTAAACATCTATTTATATCTTTTTCTTCTTTGTCTGCGGGTAATAAAACGGGAAATTGTTAAACACACATCCATCTTCTGAGCAGTGCTATCCTAAGACTACGAGGAAGCCTTCAAAACAGGAGCCTGGTTAATTGCAAACCTTTCTCCTAACCCACGCTCCTCATCCCCAGGCCGGGCTACTAAGGGAGCTATTTGGGAACGGGGATAGAGGAGCTGGTTAGGAGCCATCCCAGCCATGTGTCTCTTCATGTCAGGTGCGTGAAATCCTACTCAGTCGTCAGGGGGCTCAGCCTCTGGTTGGGGCAAGTGCCACTTCAGAAACCCCCTCGCACATCCTGGCTTCTACTCATACACAATATTTTCTTTTTTTGTAACTTGGCTGCAGTGAAAAAGAATTATTTTTAGTAAGCTACTT